ACACCACACACACACCACACCACACACATCCCACACACCACACCACACACATCCCACACCACACACATCCCACACCACACCACACACACACACCACACCACACCACACCACACCACACACACACACCACACCACACCACACACACACACCACCACCACACCACACCACACACACACCACACCACACACACACACCACACCACACCACACACACCACACCACACACACACACACCACACCACACACACACACCACCACACACACACACACACACACCACACACACACACACACACACACACACACACACACACACACACACACACACACACACACACACACACACACACACACACACACACACACACACACACACACACACATCACACACACACACACACCACCACACTACCCACACACACACACCACACACACCACACCACACACACACACACACCACACACACACCACACACACACACCACACACACCACACACACACACACACACACACACACACACACACCACACCACACCACACACACACACACCACACCACACACACCACACCACACCACACCACACACACACACACACACACACACACACACCACCACACACACCACACACACACACACACACACACCACACCACACACACACACACACCACACCACACACACACACACACACACACACACACACACACACACACACACACACACACACACACACACACACACACACACCACACACCACACACACACACACACACACTAAGTTGTGGTGTTTAGTGGATAAGGTGAGGAGTCCACCCCCTCTATGACCTTTGACCTGCTCTTCCATGACCTGTGGCCCTTATGACCTGTCTACCACCATGACCTGTGGCCTTATTACCTGTGCCCACACCATGACCTGTGACCCATGACCTGCCTACCACCATGACTTGTGACCCTTATGACCTGCTCCACCACCATGACCTGTGACCCTTATGAGCTGTCTACCATCATGACCTGTGACCTTATGGACCTGTCTACCATCATGACCTCCAGACCCATATGACCTGTCTACCACCATGACCTGTGGCCCTTATTACCTGTCTACCACCACTGACCTGTGACCCTTGTGACCTGTCTACCACCATGACCCTGTGACCCTTATGATCTGTCCTACCATGTCATGACCTGAAGCCCTCATGACCTGTCTACCACCATGACTCAGCCCTTATGACCTGCTCCACCACCATGACCTGTGACCCCATGACCTGTCTACCACCATGACTCAGACCTTATGAGCTGTCTACCATCATGACCAGGACCCTCTATGACCTGTCTACCACCATGACTGTGACCCTTATGAGCTGTCTACCATCATGACCTGTGGCCCTTATGACCTGTCTACCACCATGACCTGTGACCTCTTATGAGCTGTCTGCACCATCATGACCTGTGACCCTTATGACCTGTCTCACCATCAAGGACTGTGTGACCCTTATGAGCTGTCTACCATCATGACCTGGCCCTTATGACCTGTCTACCATCATGACCTGCTTGACCCTTATGAGCTGTCTACCATCATGACCTGTGACCCTTATGACCTGTCTACCACCATGACCTGTGAAGCCCCTTATGATCTGTCTACCATCATGACTGACCCTTATGATCTGTCTACCATCATGACCTGTGACCCTGAGTTGCCCACCATCATGACCTGTGGCCCTTATGACCTGTCTACCACCATGTGACCCTTATGAGCTGTCTACCATCATGACCTGGACCTATGACCTGTCTACCACCATGACCTGTGACCCTTATGAGCTGTCTGGCCTTGACCTCGCTGACCCACTTATGACCTGTCCTACCATCATCTGTGACCAGGCTGTCTTATGACCTCATGACCTGTGACCTTATGACCTGTCTACCACCATGACCTGTGTCCCTTATGATCTGTCTACCATCATGACTCAGACCTTATGATCTGTCTACCATCATGACCTGTGACCCATATGAGCTGTCTACCATCATGACCTGTGGCCTTATGACCTGCTCTACCACCGCGGCCTGTGAGCCACTTATAGGCTGTCTACCATCATGACCTGTGCCCTCATGACCTGTCTACCACCATGACCTGTGTAGACCCTTATGAGCTGTCTACCATCATGACCTGTGACCCTCATGACCTGTCTACCACCATGACCTGTGACCCTTATATGATCTGTCTACCACCATGACTGTGACCCATATGACCTGTCTACCATCATGACCTTATGACCTAGTCCCTTATGACCTGTCTACCATCATGACTCAGACCCTTATGATCTGTCTACCATCATGACCTGTGACTTATGATCTGTCTACCATCAAGACTGACCCTTATGATCTGTCTACCATCATGACCTGTGACCCTTATGACCTGTCTACCATCATGACTCAGACCCATATGATCTGTCTACCATCATCTCAGACCTTATGACCTGTCTACCATCCTGACCCTTATGATCTGTCTACCATCATGATGACCTGAGCTCTACATCATGACCTGTGACCCTTATGAGCTGTCTACCACCATGACCCTTATGACCATCATGACCTGTGGCCCTTATGACCTGTGATCTGTCTACTGTGACCCATCATGACCTGTGACCCTTATGAGCTGTCTACCATCATGACCTGCTGACCCTTATGAGCTGTCTACCATCATGACTCAGACCTGTGACATATGATCTGTCTACCACCATGACCTGTGACCTGTCTACCAATTATGACCAGACCCTTATGACCTGTCTACCATCCATGACCCACCCATGGACCACTTATGATGTTGTCACCATCATGACCTGTGACCCTTATGACCTGTCTACCATCATGACCTGTGACCCTTATGGAGCTGTCTACCACCATGACCTGTGACCCTTATGAGCTGTCTGCATCATGACCTGTGACCCATATGACCTGTCCTGTCATGACTGTGACCCTTATGAGCTGTCTACCACCATGACCTGTGACCCTTATGAGCTGCCATCCACCATCATGACCATACAGACCCTTATGATCTGTCTACCACCATGACTCAGACCCTTATGATCTGTCTACCATCATGACTGTGGACCCTTATGAGCTGTCTACCACCATGACCTGTGACCCTTATGAGCTGTCTACCACCATGACCTGTGACCCTTATGAGCTGTCTACCACCATGACCCTGCCCAGTCTGACCTTATGACCTTATGCCACCAACCACCACCATCATGACTCAGACCTTATGACCTGTCTACCATCCATGACCTGTGACCCTTATATGATCTGTCTACACATGACTGTGACCCTTATGACCTGTCTACCACCATGACCTGTGACCCTTATGATCTGTCTACCACCATGACTCAGACCCCTGTCTACCACCATGACCTAGACCCTTATGAGCTGCCTTACCACCATGACCTGGGTGACCCTTTTATGATCTCTACCATCATGACCTGTGACCCTTATGAGCTGTCTACCACCATGACCTGTGGCCCTTATGACCTGTCTGCCATCATTGACCCTGTGACCTGACCCACATAACCTGTGCCCTCATGACCTGTCTACCACCATGACCTGTGGCCCTTATGACCTGTCTACCATCTTGACCTTATGACTTTATGACCAGACCCTTATGACCTGTCTACCACCATGACCTGTAACCCTCATGACCTGTCTACCACCATGACTGTGAGACCCTTATGACCTGTCTACCACCATGACCTGTCTACCACCATGACCTGTCTAACACCATGACCTGTTGTTCTGGCACTCTACACCTGACACTTCACACCTGGCCTCTACACCTGACACTCCAACACCTGACACTCTCCACCCTCCACACCTGGCACTCTACACCCTGGCACTCCTACACACCTGACACTCTACACCTGACACTCCCCCGCTCTGGACACTCAACACCTGGACACTCCCCACCCTGACACTCAACACTGGCACTCTCCCACACCTGGCACTCTACACCTGGCACTCTACACCTGGCACACCTGGCACTCTACACCTGGACACTCCCCCGCTCTGGACACTCAACACTGCTGACACTCTCCACCCTGGCACTCAGTACACCCTGGGCACTCCGGCACCCCCACCTGGCACTCCACACCTGGCACTCTACACCTGGCACTCTACACCCTGGCGCTCTACACACGGCACTCCCCACTCTGACACTCAACACCTGGACACTCTCCACCCTGGCACTCTACACCTGGCACTCTACACCCTGGCACTCTACACCTGACACTCCCCGCTCTGACACTCAACACCTGACACTCTCCACCCTGGCACTCTACACCTGGCACTCTACACCTGACACTCTACACCCTGGCACTCTACACCCTGGCACTCTACACCTGACACTACACCTGACACCTTACACCATCTGTGGCTGGTGACAGTATCTGGAGTGGCAGTTTGACGTGGTGGGGCTCGGGGCTGTACCCAACTATTTGATTTTTTCACCTCCCTCTCACTATATTCCCTTCATCTCCTTTTCTACTCCTCCTCCTTAATTGATCCACTATCTCTTCCTTCTTCTTCCATCTCCTCCTCCTCAGGGGTTTGAGATACCACTCACATAGATGACGTGACCACCCTTCCTCCCCTCACCTGTATGCCCTGGGGAGCTAAGATAACACGAGCAAGTAATATTAATATAACTAAGATAACACCCAGCATCAGGCTCCTCTTGGTGGTAAAGGGAGCGTTATCAGTTTTGATGTGACCTAAGGTATGGTTTGTTATTAGTGTACTGTATTAAATATTTGCTGTAGTGATTACTCTTATTATTATTATTATTATTATTATTATTATTATTATTGTTATTTTATTATTATTATTATTATTATTACTATTACTATTTTTTATTATTCCAGTATTATTAGTTTTATTATTATTATTGATATTTTTGTTTTCTTAAAAGCTTTCACCATTGTGTGTGTCGACCCTTCATGTTGGTGACATGTTTCAGGCACTGTGATGGAGGAGGGTGAAGAGACTTCATCACTATAGGCCTACACGACAACACCATGAGCCACACCAAGACCAGGGTGAGTGTCAGCCCCAGTCAGGGTGAGTGTCAGCCCCAGTCAGGGTGAGTGTCAGCCCCAGTCAGGGTGAGTGTCAGCCCCAGTCAGAGTGAGTGTCAGCCCCAGTCAGGGTGAGTGTCAGCCCAGTCAGGGTGAGTGTTCATGTAGAAGTTATTATCAGGTTGAATCAACCAAGATCAGGTTGAGTGTTAGGTATTAATCCTTAAATGGCAGGCAAGGATTCCCTAATCTGTCTCCATCATACTTTACACAAAAACTGGAATGCAAGGAACACGAAACATCCATTGATGTTGGCTGTTGTTGCAGGGTTAAACAGCCATTGTCAAGGTAAGTGAAAGGAACCAGTATTTAAAGTTGTGTGTGAGGAAAGGTGTAGGTGAGACTCAGCATCCAGGTAAGGTGTTAACTCACAGCAGCCCTAATGAGAACACAGAGCAGTTGTGAACAAGGAAACACCGTGCATGATGCCGGCCTTACCAAGAAAGTAACACAGCTTTAACAGGTGTTGCAGTTTGATATCAACATGAACTCATTTATTTGGCTATTGTATATTCTTCTTCGTCATGGTCTGTACAGGTAAAGAAGTGTTTACTGTTGTTGTCTCAGTGTTTGTCATTACTGGATACACTTTTCATTGCCTTGTGGAAACGCCAAGTGTCCCTATACAAATCTCTCACTCGTGCACATTGGTGCTTATGTATATGAGGCAAAGTCATATCATCCAGTTTGTGTGAAATACCAACTGAGAATGAAGAAATTCCATCATTGATATACAGTATAGTTTGATTGAAGGTAAATTTGCATGGCATACGTATATATAAAACAGTCCCAAGAAGGAGGTGGATACTGTATATGGTGTTGGTGATACTGTATTTTAAAACTTGTATCATAATCTACAGTTGAAGCTTATTTTTTGCCCTTCATATATTGAGAATTGTTAGTTTTTATTAACATTAACATACCAGTACATTTCTGTGTATGGTTAAGCACACCATAAAATGCCCCACCATCAAATATTCCATAAATGTTTAGCATCACTGAATATCTGTGACTTCATGAACAGTGACTTGAGATGTCAATAGATTTGTCCATGTATGTTTAGCCTGTATGGTGACAACAGAGCTGCCTTTAACATATACTTCAATAATATCATTTACTCTATATCACCTTGCACTGACTAATGTCTTCTTAAACCACACCAAATGTACTTTATTTAGAAAGTAATTTGGGAAGTAATTTCTTGATAGGTGATTTTGCTGGCCTATTTTTACACTGTCAAGTACATGTAGTTTTCTGTTTCATGACATTGACAAGTTTCACATAATAATCCCTGCTTTGATTGGTCAGTGTAAGTCATTATAAAGTTCGAGATTATTTGTTGTAATGAACCATCCCTATAACATGAACTGTGTCTTTTTAACTGTGACTAATGTTTGCACCCTCACTTGTACCTTAACCCCCTGTGTAGTAACATAAGATTGTGACCGAGCAGTTACCAGAATTACTGTAATCCTCCCATCCCTAAGTGATAGTCTAGTAGCTGGGATATTGGTCCGGAGATACACTCAAGCTTAAAGTATACTATGTAGGGAAAGTACTGCAGTTGATTCTATATCTTTATTACACTCAGCCACGTGCTACTGTACTTAACTCTGAAGTACTGTACTATGCTTAACTGACTGGTATGGTACTGTACTTAACTCTGAAGTACTGTACTATGCTTAACTGACTGGTATGGTACTGTACTTAATTCTGTAGTACTGTACTATGCTTAACTGACTGGTAATGTACTGTACTTAACTCTGTAGTACTGTACTATGCTTAACTGACTGGTATGGTACTGTACTTAACTCTGTAGTACTGTACTATGCTTAACTGACTGGTAATGTACTGTACTTAACTCTGTAGTACTGTACTATGCTTAACTGACTGGTAATGTACTGTACTTAACTCTGTAGTACTGTACTATGCTTAACTGACTGGTATGGTACTGTACTTAATTCTGTAGTACTGTACTATGCTTAACTGACTGGTATGGTACTGTACTTAACTCTGTAGTACTGTACTATGCTTAACTGACTGGTATTGTACTGTACTTAACTCTGTAGTACTGTACTATGCTTAACTGACTGGTATTGTGCTGTACTCCATATACAGTGCAATACTTTATATGTACAGTAGTCAGCAATGTGGTCAAGTTCTATCATATCTGTACAGCAGTTTGGTGTTCTCAGTACACAGTGCCTTGGTGTGTGGTAGTGCAGTGCTGCGTCTTGACAAAAATTAATGTTCCCTAATATGAAAGTTTTCTTCATTCTTTTTTTTCCTCTTTCTTTTCCTCTCACCCTTCCTTCTTCCTCCTTTTTCTTTCTTACTCTCTCCCTTTTTCTTCCTTGTTTTATCATTCTGTCTCTCTCCCCATCTTCCTTCCTTCCTTCTATCCTCCTCATCTTTATTTTCTTGTCTTCCCTTGTCCCTCTCTCCCTTTTTCTGCCTTCCTTCTTTCTCCTCCATTTTTTACTTCCCATTTTGTTATCTACTTTTGGTTCCACTCTTCCTGTGCTAAATTATTATTATTATTTTTTTTTTCATAACCAGAAATTCTCCAGTGGGAAAAATAGCAGTTTATGTTTGATTAGCCTAATAACTGATTGGTTTGGTTAGGTTAGGATAAGATAGGTTAGTTATGTGTAAATAAAAATAGGTTAGATTTATATATGGTCAGATTCTTGAGTTAGGTTGAGTTGGGTTCATATAGGTCAAGTTAGGTTGGGTTAGGTTGAGTTGAGTTGCATTAAAGTTTATTAAGTTTGGTGGAAAATGGCTGTGGATTGATGTTGATTATGATGGGTAAAATTAGTTTAGGATTGGTTGGGATTTTGTTAATTTGTGATGGTGTTTTTCATTTTTTTTTCTGCCTGAATTTCTGGTTAAGAGATTCAGAAAAGAGAGTGTGGTCTGGATATAAGGATACTGCACATTTTCCAACTTTTATAATACATGAAGCACAGTACAGGTATAACACTTTAATAATTCTAATATTTTGATCCCATTTGTTGTATGGCTCATGAGCACTGGATCCACTTTTGAATCAGTGACTGACCCTTGGCTTGAGTGTATCTCTTTGAGGGTTTTTAAACACTAGGTGTGTGTGTCTGTGTGAGAGGAGAGCGGTTTTACATAAATGTTTTGCTTCACCTTCAGTTATGTTGAGCAGGCTCTTGGGTCATCAGAGGCAAGTCACCAACAGGTGCCATACGTGAGTCATTCTTTACCCAACCAGTCTTTCATCTTTACTGTGCATGACTCGTAAATGATGCGTAACTCTGGATATAGATGTCTTCTCTGTTTATTTACACTAAATCATTTGCAGAGAAAGGTCATGATCATGATGATGATAATGATGATGATGGTTCTTGTATGATTGCACGCAGTTCAGCAATTTAACTCACAACAGGTACCCACATGATGCATGTTGATTTGATGGTCAGTTTTGTGCTTTTTACTCTACAGTGGATTTGCTCCATTGTAAGACACTTTTTATTAGTGCCTGCTGCTTGTTGTTTACTCCAGTTGGTTACTAATATGAAATAACACCTTTATATACACCGCATTAACATTTATTTGACGTGCTTTGTGAAGATGGCCAGCGAGAGGAAATCTTCAATGAAGAAATTCCTGTAACTTGTAGCTGAAGAAGTGAGCTTTTCCACATGTTCTAGTGCACTACTGTCTACATACAGTACAGTACAGTATTATTAACTTCTTCTGCAATATGTGACCACTAGGTGGGGTTTATGGTATGTTTTATTATCATTATAGGCTGACTTAATAAATGAATGGCTTTAGAAGGAGGAGATTAACATACCTAATACTGTTAACAAATATCTTTTAAGATGTAAATTTTCTTGGATTTACAGCATTTTCTAAATAACAATGTACAGTATATTCCTTTTTATATGTACTGTTTACATATATATATATATATATATATATATATATATATATATATATATATATATATATATATATATATATATATATATATATATATATATATATATATATATATATATATATATATATATATATATATATATATATATATATATATATATATATATATATATATATATATATATATATATATATATATATATATATATATATATATATATATATATGAAAGTTTGTAGAAAGTACTGTGCTGTGGCAGTAAACTTTGTAAATTCAGTCTCTTCTCACATAATGACAGGAATACTGTACACTGTGTGTGTATACAGTACTGAAGTTCACCCTGGTGCAGCTTCAGTTATCTGTGATACCTGACAATGATATTCCCAAAAGTTATTGTTAAGAACAGTTCCATAAATGAAACATTATATGTACTGTACAGTACCATGTACATGTACTGTAAGATAATATATGTGTACAATTGACTGGGAGGTGACCTGGGATATTCTGTAGTATTGTATTATACTTTATGAGTGACTAAGGCAAAAGCAGGGTTTTTATTTCAAGCCTGTGCCTTGACTATATCATTCTGATGTTTTAATTGACTGGGAAAACTGTCAAAAGTTACAACATTATCTGTATCTGTATATGAGTATTAAATGTATATTTTCTTAACATTTCTCCCTGGCATACTTCTTGATGAGAAAGATAATGTAACTTAATATAAGACCAGTGACAGTAGAGGGATGACAAAGTTTGATAATAAGTCAGGGTCACATAAGGTTGTATTATAAGTTTTCCTCGGGATTCTTAAAGATACTGTTTCAGCTGAGGGTGAGTCTCAGTAAGTAACATATTTATCAAGCTTAGGATGCACTGTATATGTTCCAATGGTGTGAGGGAACATCTCACTTTATATAACCAGAAAGATGAAGAATTATTAGCTGTATTGTACACATGCAAATCTGTATTTATAGCTTTAATTATTGAGCTGCGGTGTTTTATGATTGTTAAAAAAGGATAATTCACATGCAATACTGTTTTTG